TTTCTCTTTGGGTCGCCCTGCCTCGGTAAGAGACGGCCAACTTGTTGAAAGAAAAAAGATGATGTAGTAGGCACATGAATAAGTGTAGATGTTCTTTATGGTGAGCAGATTTAGACTCCTGAATAAAGGTAGAGTATGCTGTCGCGAGTGAGAATTTATCATCATTCTGATTGCAGCCTTTTGCTGGGTTATTAGTGGCCTTAGGTGATTTATGTTGTTGATCCCCATGCAAAAATTCCATATGTGAGATAAGGGTAGATGATTGAATGATACAATGCAAGGAGAGCTGATTGTGGAACATAGTACCATATCTTCAAAAGTATGCCTACTGTCAGAAATTTTCTTGGAAATTTGTTGTATATGTGTCTGGAATTTGAGGCTACTGTCAAGGTGGATTCCTAGGAATTTTCCCTCTGAGTCTTGTGATGGGTGATCCATTTAGTGTTATGCTAAGTGGAACATTTGCAGCTCTGATTCCAAACTGAATGAAATAGGTTTTGTCAGTATTTAGGGCAAGTTTATTAGTCATCATCCAGGTAGACATTTCCTGTAATTCAGAATTGACAGTGTTGGCAAGTATGACTGGGTTTGGGTGGGAGAAGACGTATGTAGTGTCATCTGCAAATAATATGGGTTTGAGTAGCTGTGATGCATTTGGTACGTCATTGATGTAGATTGGTTGTGTGGAAGAGTTTACACCATTTGCATACACATATTGGCTTCTGTTACTAAGGTATGTCTTAAGGTAGTTGAGGGAGTGGCCTCTTATACCATAGTGTGCTAATTTAGTGTGCAGCAAGTCATGGTCGACTGTATCAAAAGCTTTACCTAAGTCAATGAAAATTCTCAGTGAGACTTCTTTCTTCTCGAGAGCGGTATATGTTAGTTCTAGCATGCGTATAATAGTATCATTTGTGATTTTATTATTCCTGAATCCAAACTGACAGGGGTTTAGTATGTTGTTTGAGACGAGGTAGGAATAGATCCGTCTATGAATTAGTTTTTCAAAGATTTTAGAGAGTAGTGGTAAGTTAGAAATTGGTCTATAGTTATATAAGTCGGCTTAATCACCTCCTTCATGGATCGGGGTGACCTTCGCTACTTTAAGAACTGCTGGGAAGGTGGAGGATTCAATGGATTTGTTAAAGTGTGTTGCAATAATTGGTGACAGTGCTTGTGAAGCTTTTTTGTACCAAAGAGTTGGCAAGTTTTATGTCTCCTGCCTTGTTTTTAAGGGCGTTGATGATGAGCGATACCTCTGTTGGGTTGGTTGAAGCTAGGAATAGTGTATGTGGGTAGGTGCCCGTAAGGTAGTCTAATGAACGGGTGTTTGAGTTTGGTATTTTGCTTGCTAGATTCTTTCCTATGGTGAGAAGAAAACAGTCTGTTTGCTGTTTCTTTCAGTTGGTGCGAGTAGGGGTTCGTCTGATTTTGTTAATTTGATTGTTTTGTTTTTGGATATCCTTTTAGTTCCTAGAAGTTCAGGCTGGTAAGGGCTGACGAGTAACGTTTAGACTGGTCTCTAGTTATTTGACCCATTCTGTACTGTTTTTCATATTGGTGCTTTGTGTTAATGGATTTGAGGATGGTGGGTGTTAGCCAGGGACTATTCAGTCTCTTAGCTGTGAGCTGGTTAGTTTTTTTAGGGCAATGCTTGTTATAGAGGTAGTGGGTTCTTTTTATAAAATTACGAATACATTCATTCATGTCTGTATATTTTTCGAGCTCATTACGCCAGTCGATGTTATTCTTAGCTGCTATAAAGTTATTTACAGCTGTTTCGTTATGTAGTCTGAAGGTAACTTTAGTAGTGTCTTGGGGCAATTTACCTAGGTTGGTTATGAGAAAGGTAGGGTAGTGGTCTGTGGTGTTGTCTGTGATTATACCTGATTTTAAAGGGGATATGGTGTTAGTCCAGGTGTGGTTCAATAAAGAGATACTAGTCTGGGAGATTCTTGTAGGTTTTGATACTGTTGGTACCAACAAGCAGTTGCTCATAGTGTTTGTTAATTCGGTTACTTGTGGGTCCTGGTCATGCAGTAGATTTATGTTGAAATCTCCTGTTAGTAGCAGGTGGTCTTTGTTCATATGTGCATCAGTTATCAAATTCCTTAATTTTAACTAAAGTTTTAAATGTTTGACCGTGGTACTCTGTAGATGTTCATGACTGAGGGCTTTTTGCAGGTCTTTTGATTTAAATTTAGCTATGATATATTCACAGTGCTCATCCCTTGTGCAAGAATTGTTGATACATTCAAGTTGATTTGAGTAGTACACAGCTATTCCACCCCCTTGCAGGTCTGTCCTACAGTTGTGTATAGCTGTGTATTCAGGAAAGGCATAGACATCTGTAGTGCCAGGCTTTAGCCAGGTTTCTGTGAGTGTGATGATTGACATACTGGAATTAAGGGAACTGAGTAATGCTGTGAGGTCATCATAATGTCTGCTCAAGGATCTGACATTGTAATTAAAGATAGTTATGCTATTGTTTGCTCTGAGTAATGTCTTAGCTTGGTCCACTGTATAATAATTACAGTTGCTGTTTGATTCGTTTAAGTCATTTAATAAAAGGTTTCAATCTGGATCAATGTTTGTAATCATGAGAATAAGACTCTACAACTAGATTTTTTAATAAAATATTTTGTAGAACTTAACAATTTTGATACTTAACTAATTTATCTTACTAGCTAATGGATTGTTATGCTAGTTTTTATGAAAAAAAAAAAAATACAGAGCTACAGTTTACTCTTCATATGGTACAGAATTGATGAATTTATACTGGACTGTCATAGATTTAGTTTTACAAAGTTGTAGATTTTGAATAGTTGTTTACTGAACACAAAAAAATTGCTAGCACTGGGAGTGATAATTAACCCTTTGACTGTTTTAGTCGTATATAGGCCCACATGTGAGAGAATGGGTCTGTGTGGTCAGTGTGCACCACATAAAAAAAACCTGCAGCACGCAGTGCATGAGAAAAAAAAAAAACTGACTGGTTTTTTAATTAAAATGCCGATTCTGTAGTCTATTTTCGTATAGTATTTATGGTTGTATTCTCATTTTCTTGGTCTCATTTGATAGAATGGAAAACATATAATAGAAATAGAAGTGATTTTGATTGGTTTTACTATAAAAAGAACCTGGAAATGGAGCTCAAAGTAGGGGAAATGTTTGATTTTTTGCAGATGTTCAAAAGTAAACAAATGTCCATTGTCCAATAAATGTCCAACTAGCCATTCTAATATGCAGTCACGAATAGGCTGACATTATTTCTACAATTATTACAATATTGCAGAAGTCTGCATAACAGTAAATCTTCTATTTTTTTGTATGAATAAAAATTCAAAATAGAAAGCAAGAGTAATATCAGAGGGGCCTGGAGACATGACTGATGAACAAAGCAAATGTTATTTTAGAGCCAGGAATGTCTGCATTGTTCATTCTGGACCTTATTTTGAAATTGTCATATTTTTTAATTTTCGTGAAATTGGCCAAATTGCAAATTTCTGACCACGTTATTGGGTAGTTGAAATTGGTAAATGGGCAGTTTCTTGTACTCAATCAATAGAAAAAACGAAGTTCTAAAGAAATACCTACGAGTTTGGGCGACTGGAACAATAGAATTAGTCGAAAATAAGGCTCAAAGTGGGTGAAATCACTGATTTGTAAATATTGCTGAGGTCGCTAACTTTGCGAGAGTGTAATTCCATCAGTTTTCCATCAAATTTCCTTTTTTGGTGTCATTACAATCGGGAAAAGATTCTCTATCATTTCATAGGAAAAAATAATTTTTTTTTCTTTAAATTTTGCGACACCAGGAGACACCTCAGGATTGGGGGTTATGACAGTCAAGGGGTTAAAAGTCTGCAGGTAATGGTAGTTTTTTTTTTTTTCAACAAATTGGCCGGCTCCCACCGAGGCAGGGTGGCCCAAAAAGAAAAACAAAAGTTTCTCTTTTTAAATTTAGTAATTTACAAGAGATGGGTTACTAGCCCCTTGCCCCCAGCATTTTAGTCGCCTCTTACAACATGCATGGCTTACGGAGGAAGAATTCTGTTCCCTTTCCCCATGGAGATAAGAGGAAATAAACAAGAACAAGAACTAGAAAGAAAATAGAAAAAAACTCAGAGGGGTGTGTATATATATGCTTGTACATGTATGTGTAGTGTGACCTAAGTAGAAGTAGCAAGACGTACCTGAAATCTTGCATGTTCATGAGACAGAAAAAAGACACCAGCAATCCCACCATCATGTAAAACAATTACAGGTTTCCGTTTTACACTCACTTGACAGGACGGTAGTACCTCCCTGGGCGGTTGCTGTCTACCAACCTACTACCTAGGATAATGGTAGTTATAGAAGAAATTAATGAAATAAGAGAAAACAAAAGATTATAAAACTAGATTTAGTAAGTAATTATAGAATACAGGGATTATAATTCTTATTATGGCACAAGTTTTACAATATAATATTGCACTGGTTATCAGTTCTATAATCTTAGTTTACAATAGTAAGCAAGTAATGGTATATTAAAATTAAAAAATAGAAATAAAAAGAGCGAATATAGAGTATCTAGTGATCAAATATACAAAAGTAAAATGGACTAATAGTAAATATGGCATTCAATAAATTTTAGTAATATTTATTAAAAAAAAAAATAAAAAAAAAAATAAAAAAAAAATAATATTCTATTTCAAGAATTAAATTTTTAAGAACAATTATGCACAGTTAATGCACAGTTTGTAATACAAGTGTACATGTACACAGGATCATGAAAAAGGATTTGTACATTAAGAATGGAAGAATTAACTGCTTGACCAACCAGACAGTTACTGCTAGTAACCCATTAAATTATTAATGTCAAAGCACACTCCAAAAGTTCCCTGTAGGCACCTCAGTAATTATAAAAACTCTGACAAAGGCAGAAAAGCCCAAGTCAGTCGAAGGGAGAGTGGGGACAATTAGGTAAACTTATACAAGAAGCTATCTATAACACTGACCTAAGAGATCGCAGTTCCTCTATCAGTGGAAGATCAGTAATACGAACATGAATTTCTTTAGTAATCCTCTCATACTGAGGAAACATAGAGAGGGTGACATCCTTGGCAGCCGAGTCCATTATCTCCAGCATCTCTGTCGGGGCCTCCGGCAGGAAGTAAGCCAGAACTTGCTCCTCTGAGGCAATGATGTTATAATCCACTTCGAACGATGACTTATTTTCTTCGCACATGTGACGAACCTTGTCTTTGTAGAGGTTGTTGCCCTTGTCGTTCACATAAGTTCGAAGGAAGTTCTTAAATCGGTTGTAAATTTCTGTTCTGGGACCCAGCATGGACACCCACTCACGAACACTGTGACCTTTCATGTCCTCCAAGTTTTCTATAGACTCAATCATCTGAAAAGTAAATTCAACACCACATGTACATAATACTGAATGATTGTACAACTGTGCACAGTAAGTCAACATTAAATCTTACTTTCAATGGCCAAAAAGATAAAAGATAGATTTTATTTCTTTGTAAAGGTTACAATGTGTAATTACAATTTTGGTTTGCTAAGCACAAAGAAAGCAATTATCATGCTGGGGCATTTTGGCCAGACTAATCCTAGTACACAATAGCAACTTAAATCAAGACAAGATAAAAGAGGTTAAGTCTCTCAAAAATCTTTATTTAGTCTAATACTAATGCCAGGTAGTCAAAGGTGGAGGTTTATAACAACATGCATTTACTTCTCTACACAAAGAATAATAATTAGCAATTACAGCCTCTCCTCACTTACCGATGGAGTTCTGTTCCTAAGACCACGTCGGTAAAAGAATTTGTAGCTAATCAAGGAACCACCCCTTACTGATACAGTGGACCCTCAACCAGCGATATTAATCAGTTCCTGAGAGCTCATTGTTAGTCAAAATTATCGTTAGTCAAGTTAATTTTCCCCATAAGAAATAATGGAAATCAAATTAATCCGTGCAAGACACCCAAAAGTATTGAAAAAAACAAATTTTTTACCACATGAAATATTAATTTTAATACACACAAACTGAAGATTACATGCACAGTTACATGACACTTACCTTTATTGAAGGTCTGGTGATGATTGATGGGATGGGAGGAGGGGAGAGGTGTTAGTGTTTAGAAGGGGAATCCCCTTCCATTAGCACTTGAGGCAGCAAGTCTTTTTCTGGGGTTACTTCCCTTCTTCTTTTAATGCCACTAGGACCAGCTTCAGAGTCACTGGACTTCTGTCGCACAACATATCTGTCCATAGATACCTGTACCTCTCATTCCTTTATGACTTTCCTAAAGTGGTTCACAACATTGTCAGTGTACAGGTTGCCAACACAGCTTGCAGTAGCTGTGTCAGGGTGATTTTCATCAAAAAAGGTTTGCACTTCAAGCCACTTTGCACACATTTCCTTTATCTTAGAAGTAGGCAACTTCTTCAATTTCTCTCTCCCCTCCTCCGAAGCAGTTTCCTCAGGTCTGCCCTCTTGCTGTTCAAGATGATCTAGCAGCTCATCAGTGGTTAGTTCTTCACTGTCCTCCATCACCAACTCTTCAACATCCTCCCCACTAACCTCCAACCTCAAGGACTTCCCCAATGCCACAATGGATTCCTCAACTGGCATAGAATTCTCAGGGTTAGCCTCAAACCCTTCAAAATCCCTTCTGTCTACACATTCTGGCCACAGTTTTTTCAAAGCAGAGTTCAATGTCCTCTTAGTCACTTCCTCCCATGCCTTACCTATAATGTTTACACAATTGAGGATGGTAAAATGATCTTTCCAAAACTCTCTTAGAGTCAGTTGAGTTTCTGAGGTCACTACAAAGCACCTTTCAAACATAGCTTTTGTGTACAGTTTCTTGAAGTTGGAAATAACCTGCTGGTCCATGGGCTGCAGGAGAGGAGTGGTATTAGGAGGCAAAAACTTCACCTTAATGAAGCTCATGTCCCTAGAAAATCGCTCTGCCAAGTCTGAAGGATGACCAGGAGCATTGTCTAATACCAGGAGGCACTTAAGGTCTAATTTCTTTTCAATTAGGTAATTTTTCACAGTGGGGGCAAATGCATGGTGTAACCAGTCATAGAAAAAGTCCCTAGTGACTCATGCCTTACTGTTTGCCCTCCACAGCACACACAAATTAGCCTTGAGGACATAGTTTTTCCTGAACACTCTGGGAGTTTCAGAGTGATACACCAATAAAGGCTTCACTTTGCAATCACCACTAGCATTGGCACACATCAACAGAGTAAGCCTGTCTTTCATAGGCTTATGTCCTGGGAGTGCCTTTTCCTCCTGTGTAATGTACGTCCTGCTTGGCATTTTCTTCCAAAACAGGCCTGTTTTGTCACAATTAAACACTTGTTCAGGTTTCAGTCCTTCACTGTCTATGTACTCCTTCAATTCCTGCACATATTTTTCAGCCGCTTTGTGGTCCGAACTGGCAGCCTCACCATGCCTTATCACACTATGAATGCCACTATGCTTCTTAAATCTCTCAAACCAACCTTTGCTGGCCTTAAATTCACTCACATCACTAGTTGTTGGCATTTTTTTAATTAAATCGTCATGGAACTTCCTAGCCTTTTCACATATGATCGCTTGAGAGATGCTGTCTCCTGCTATCTGTTTCTCGTTTATCCACACCAATAACAGTCTCTCAACATCTTCTATCACTTGCGATCTCAGTTTTGAAAACATAGTTGCACCTTTGGCAAGAACAGCTTCCTTGATTGCCGTTTTCTTGCCCACAATAGTAGCGATGGTTGATTGGGGTTTATTATACAACCTGACCAGCTCAGAGACACGCACTCCACTTTCATACTTAGCAATGATCTCTTTCTTCATCTCCATAGTAATTCTCACCCTTTTTGCTGTAGGGTTGGCACTAGACTTTCTTGGGGCCCAAGGTGACTTATTTTGCAGGTGCAATCACTACAAAGGCTGTGATAATATGAAATGTTCCAGTTGTTGTATGTTTGGAAGCGACCGCATTGGCTGGCTGGCTTGTAAACACTGGCACCCAAGGGACAAGTGAGGCGCGCTCAGGCCAAAGTGGACGCATATGGTACGGAACGAATAGCGCTGGTCGGGTTTTTAAGCGCTAGTTGAGGCAAAATTTTTGCGTTAAAATGTATGGCTAGTCATATTTATCGTTAATCGATGCCATCGCTGGTCGCGGGTCCACTGTACTTCAAAAATGTCACCACCCGAAATTAAAACATTCGGTTTTACGTTTGCTGTGAAAATTCTTTAAATCCGTTTATTAATGGTAATACAATGTGAAATAGGGCAATAACTTCCTTCCAAGATATTCCAGGAAACTTGCATATATCTGATTACTTGGGGAAAAAAAATTCAAAAAAATTGCACTGTTTCAGTCTTTGCATAGGATAAGAGTGATCTACAGCTAGCCCTCCACTTTTGCGAGTTCCATTTTCATGAACTTCGAACATTCACGAATGCCCAATCACCCAATCATATTTGCCAAACAAATGTGGGAAAAAAGTACGGGAAAACGCTTCCCGCTGCGTCCCTACTACCCTCCCTCTTACCCCCTCAACTGGCAGCCCGCCAGTCCGCCACTCACTCAGTCATTGTCCAGTTACTGTTCATGTCCATATAATCACCTCCATTCAACTGTCGTCAGTAACTACATGGCTAACTATCATCAACATCATTGTCAACATCATCATTACAAGTTGTCAGAGTTCATCTGCCTAACCTTACGAGTGGTGAGTGTTCTGTTTGTTCATTATTTATTAAACCATAACATGTATATACAATATTTTACATGTTTCATGACTGTTTGTGGTTCAATAGGTTAAGGAAGCAGCATTGTTAGGCTAAGTAAATGCTATTATTATATTTCCCTACAATGTATTCATGCATCAAAACATTCATGAACGGTACAGTACAGTATTATTACATTTCCCTACATCGTATTTGCACACCAAACATTCACAAATTTTCAAGATTCACGAGGCTCTTGATCCCCTAACCCTCGCGAATGTGGAGGGCCTCCTGTATAGTTACCCTTCAGGCACATAACGCCTAACATTTTCTATAGTGCCCGGAGAGCTGAAAAGAAAAAAAGACAGACCACTGAGCACAGGGACATCAGCTAGGGAAGAGACTGAAGGAAGGAATGCTTCAATGGAAGGAACTAAATCATCTCAGGAGATGCAAAGGGAAATACAGTGGGAGGACGAGAGGGACAGGTCAGTTTTTGTCTACAGGCTCCAGGAAGTCAAAGGGGAAACTTATGAAGCAAGAAGACAGGAGGAGAAAAAAGCGATTGAAAGTATCATGAGAGCAATAGGAGAGGACGACATGACCCAGCTGAAAAGCTTTCTGAGAATTGGGTGGTTTGCAAGAGGAAAAAACCGGCCAGTGAAAGTAACTTTCAAGGCAGAATCAGCAGAAAACAGGATCCTGCAGGAGAAAGCATGACTAACAGACATACCGAAGTACTGGAGGGTGTACCTCGATCAATACAGAACACAAGAAGAAAGGCAGAAACTGAAATAGAGGGTAAAAAGACGCAAGGAGGAACGAGAGGCAATGACAGAAGCAAGCAGGAGAATCCAGACTCAGGAGGAAGAGCAAACACAACCTTCTTCAGAAGCACCCACAGAAGGACCCCAACCATGACAGCCCCAATGCAACCATACAATCTAAACCAAAGCCCACACACACTGCACCCTCTGCCCCCACCCCCCCCTCACCACAAACTCCACCCCCACAGCAACCCCCCACAAGTCCCCGCCAGGGCTCCTGCTCCCCCAACACCAACATTCTCCCCAGACCACAGTTTTAGAAAAGAAGTTGAAGGTTTGGCATACGAATGCGGATGAAATAACATAAATGATAGGAGTGGCGTTAAAGAATCAAGATGTTCCCAGACATTATAGCAGTCACAGAAACGAAACTCACTGGGATAACAGATGCAATCTTCCCACCCAGACATCAGATCCTGAGGAAAGATAGCAGGAGCAGAGGGGAAGGAGGCGAACTGTTCATTAAAAACCGGTGGGGGATTGAGGAAATAAAATGAATGGACAAAATTAACAAAAGGGATTACATAGTAGGCACACTTCAGCCTGGGGGCCATAAGGTACTCATTGCAGTGATGTATAACCTGCCACAGAAGTGCAGGAGGCCAAGAGAAGAATATGAAGAGAGCAATAGAGCATAAGTAGACATACTAGCTGAGGTGGCCAGAAGAGCTCACATGCGTAGAACAAAGTAACTAGTTGTGGGCGATTTCAATCACAAGGAGATTGATTGGGAAAACCTGGAGCCACATGGGGGTCCCGAAAAATGCAGAGCCAAGATGGTGGATGTGGTACTGGAAAACCTCATGCATCAACATGTTCGGGACACTACCA